ATGCTTCTCCCACCCTGGGAGGATCCTCACAACACCCTTTATTTGGTGCTCTCGTCTCTATCTGAGCTTCCTTTTCCCCTAGCACGTGGAAATGTCACTTATTTTTTTCTAATAAACTTTCTCTGATTTTGTTGGAAATGATCTTGTATTTGAACAATAGTAAGGGCATAATAAAAAGGCCTTCAATGAGTGAGCTACAAGAAGCTATTTTGATATTTTTGAAAATTGGACATTTTAGGAGGATGCTACAGATGTTATTACCTTTCCTATAAAGAGAAATCTTTATATAGGTCTTGAAATAGAGTGGAGATTTTTCATTTTCTCATTCATAAACTGAGATTAACAGTAATAGTTATAAATTCATGTAAGATTTCTTGAGTGAATAGGTAATTGAATTATACCTAAATTTAGCACAGGTCCTATTTTGCAAATTGAATGATGGAATGTGGGTATCATTCCTAATAAATTAAGGATTGAACAAGGGAATGTGGGGGGTTCAGGTTACACCTGGTGGTGTTCAGGGCTTACTCCTGCCACTCTACTTAGGGTTAACTTCTGGAGGTGCTTGTGGGATCATATGTGTTGCCAAGGATTGAACCAGAATTGCCTACATGCAAGGCAAGCACCTTAACCTCTGAATGATCTCTTAGGCTCCAAATCTAAGAACTTTAAGTTGATTTAAAAAATTTGTATTGCCTAGTATAATGATAAACATATAAAATGTCTACTCATTGATGTCTTTTGAATTAACTATAAAATGATTGTGTATCTCTGATAAAATTTGAGACATTGAGTACAAGAGATTTAAATTTTCTGAAGATCAGATTGAATTGCTTATTATTCTGTTTTGCATATTTGAAACATTTTCATTCAAATAATAGCAAAGATTTATCTTGGTAGCAGGAATTAAAGGTAGTTACATTGATATGACTTTGATGCTTGTGACTATATACTACTGAAGTTTGAAAATTTATCTTGATTCTATTACCATCACTTCTGCCTTTCTAATGGTAGGTGTTTAATGAATATTTGTTGACTGATAACACTTGGGTTTGGAACAGTGAAATAATGCCTTGCATTAAGAGAGAAAAGAGTTACGATCAGAAGCTTCAGTATCCCTGTAAATCATACAAATGACTGTGTCTACACTTTTTTATTGGCAATGTAATTAGTGTTTGATACAAGTGAAAATGAAAGGCGTAAATTACAACCCAAGATCATGTTTTTCAGGGTTTTCTGAGTTTATTTTTCCTTCCTACTTGATGCTTTTTTTTTAATCTCCCTCTTGCTTGAATATGCCTGTCAAATACAGACCAATGATTTCCTTTTTCAATTTCCCAATAAATTTAGTCATAGATGTTAATTTGAACATCTTAACTATTTTTTTTAATGTAGGAGTATTGCTTTTATTCAGCCATTGATTAGGCTGATTGAATTGGACATAAACTCCACCTTACTTTTTTTTCCCTTTTCTGTAATTTTATTTATTGAATCACCATGAGAGCAGTTACAAAGCTTTCGGGTTTAAGTCTCGGTCATACAATCAAACACCTGTCCTTTCACCAGTGCCCATTTTCCACCACCAAAAAACACTCAGTATATCCCTCATCCCACACCCTCCCTCTACATGTGGGGCAGATGATTTCCACATTACTCTCTCTGTACTTTGATTACATTCAATATTTCGACACCAGACCCACCATTATTATTTGGGATTTTACCTCAACACTCAGATATGCCAAAAAGGCAACAGTAGACAATTTGTTTTCTATTTCTCGTTATGAATAACATATGATGTCACACGGCTGCAGTAGTAGCTGCATGAGTTTGGATTTCTGAAATTTTAACAATTAAATCTGGAGGGATTTCTGTCAAAACCTGCTGGGTTTCGAGATTTATTCCTGAGTCTCTTGGATCATGGCCGGTAAGCAGCTAGATTAGGAGCCAGAGAGGCCGTTTGTGGCAGCGACTCGGGTTCTCCTTGGGGTGGGGAGGAAAGGGCCGGCTTCACCCCCATCCCGTGAGGCCCTATGTGTCTTGTCACTGAGGACCCAAACCTGACTGTCCACTGGCCTCTGGAAGATGGCGGCCACCAAGCTGCCAAGGAGGAGCAGGCAGAGGGACAACACCCTTTCCCCCTGGGGTGGTCCAGCGCCGGTAACCCATTGCGGGGACCAGACGCATCTCTGCCAAAAGCCACTGGGTTCCGAGATTTGTCTCTGACTCTCTGGGATCATGGTCATTAAGAAGTTCGATCGGGAATCAGAGAGGCCTTGCCTCCAATTATATAGCTGAGCCGGAGGTGGTTTGTGGGTGTATCTCCCACATACCTAACTTTTGGCCATTTACTTTCTTGGTAAACTTTGCCCCAAGTTGTTGGGGTCTGGCCAAAGGCACAGCAGCAATTTTGGGGTATCTAAAGTCTGAAGGCGCGGTCAGGCACCTGATGCACTCGCCTCACAGGTACAGTTCATACCTTTGGGGTTGTGTGGACGGATATTCCACCCTGTTCCATTGGTCTGCAGCCCTGTCTTTGTTCCAGTACCATGCTGTTTTAATTATTACTGCTTTGTAGTAGAGTTTGAGGTTGGGGAGGTTGATTTCTCCCATTTTCTTTTTCCCAAGAATTGCTTTAGCTATTTGTGGGCATTTGTTGTTCCATATGAATTTCAGGAGTGCTTGATCTATTTCTTTGAAGAATTTGAGAAGGAACTATTAAATAACTTTCTCAACCTAGATATTTTTACCATATTTTTAGTTTTCTAAACTTATTTGATCTGCTTAGATACAATTAATGTCCTTTAGTGTAGACAGTCTAATTTCCAGTCTATAAATTTTAATGGGATTAAATAATCATATAATCCACACAAATGAAACATTTAAGAACTTTTCAAAGTAATTATTCTTCATTTTTCATCTCTGTTTTCCTCATTTGTATTTTCTCTCGTCAGTGTTTCTACTATTATTCTTAGTACAAAGTTATAACAGCATCACCTGCTTAAGAAAATCATTCGAATTCACAAATTGTAAGTTTATGAAAAGATAAATTAGAGGGATTGGAGTGATAGTACAGTGGGTAGGTTTGGCCTTGCACATGGGAAACGAGTTCTATCCCGGCATTCCATAAGGTCCTCTAATACCATCAAGAGTTAATTCCCGAGTACAGAGCCAGGAATAATGCCTGAACACCACCAGGTGTGACCCATAAAACAAAACAGAAAAAAAGAGATAAATTAGAAATCCAGAGTAATTTTCACAATAAAGTACACATGCCTTTTCTCTAAAAGTTGTAATGTGTAAAATGATATTGTTTATAGAAATTATCTATATTATAATAATTAAAAAATAACTTGTTTCAAATGATACTAACCACACTAAAATTTGAACAAATAATACGATAGAGACCTCCCCTCCCCTCCCCTCCCCTTCCTTTCCCTCTCCTTCCCTCCCTTCTTCTCTCCCTTCCCTCTTTTCCCCCTTTCTCTCCTATTCCATCCCCACCCCTCCCCTACCTTTCCCCTCCTCTTCCTTTCTCCCCCACTACAATTTATTGTAGAGACTTGCCTTATTGCATTTCACACATCTAGGTCTTTTGTCATAAATTAACTTCCCATAAATAAGATGATTTATTTCTGGGCACTCAATTTAGTTCCATTTATCTGAGAGTCTAACTTGTTCCACTTTGACACAATTTTGATTACAATAATTCAATAATAAAGATTAATTTGGATTGTAATACTACCTATCTATAGTTTTTCTTTAGAGTACTTTCATGACTTTCTGGTATTTTCCTGGTTCTATGAAAATTTTAGAAATGTTATGCATTTAAGAAAGCAATAGATTTTGAAAGCTTCCCAGTTATGTTTTGTATTGATAATTTTGTCCTTTATGTCCTGAAGGAGGGCCCTCCAAATTGTTAATAATTCACTGAATGTAGACTATATTTTTCCATGTTAACATGTAATTAGTTATGTAGTTTTTACTGAATGGCTAAGTGAAAGGAGTGAGGAAGTAGAACGAAATAGAATATATATTTGATGGGGGAAGGATGTTTGGTGTCACACCCAAAGGGTCTCAGGTTTACCCTCTTTTTATGTTCAGGGATCATTTCTGAAGGTGCTTGGGTACCATATGCAGTGCTAAAATTAAAACCCAGGTTAGGTGTGTGCAAGACAAAAGCCTCAATGCCAATGCTCTCTCTGGAAAACACAATTTTTCTGATCATTTTGTTGCTTGGAGGTGTGATGGGGTTCACTTGAGAATGGTATGGGGTGATGAGCAACACTTGATTGTGCTTATAAATTATCCCTGGCTCCGTGATCAGGGATTATTTCTGGAAGTGTACAGGAGAATTTATGTGGTCCAAGGACTGAAGCGGCACTGCCCCCATGCAAGCCAACCACCTTGACTTATGTCCTACAAGAACATATTATTAACAAATATATTTTAACATTTGAAAAATAATGTTTCTAGAAAAATATGCTGCAAGTCATCAATAGGTAAATTTGACCTATCACTCTATTAATGTTCATGAGTTTACAACCCTCATACAAATACTCATATTTTATTAAAATTATCGCCAGAGACACATTTAAATTTTGCTATTTGAAGTAAAGATAGAATTAATTATAATATTCAGTTGTTAAATATTTAAAAATTGAAATACCTATTGATTGACCTGTCCTTGTTCTTGATGTCATTACCAAGAAGCAGAACTCCTGTTACTAAGTGTATCTTTTTATTACAAAAGTATTTAAGTAAGCACATTTATATTTGATATGCCAAACACAGTAACAACGTGTCTCACAGTGGAGACGTTACTTGAGCAAATCGATGAACAACGGGAGGACAGTGGTACAGTGCTATTTATTTTATAAACAGGAAGTATAAAATAAGATTAATAATTTTGCTAGTCCCCGATATGAACATTTATACTAACTTCACCTTTTCCCTCTTTTCTTCCCCCTCCTGTCTGTTTCCTTTCTCTTGTCTTGATACAGGCATCTAATATTATCCAATTGCCCTAGCTAACTTCTTTGTAAAAAATCAACTTTAACTTTTACTGAATACAAGATGAAAATGTGGTTTATGAATATTCATCTTATGATATCTGTAACAGTATGCCTATCAGGTAAGACATATTCTTTATATATTATCCTTAAATTATTTTAATATAATCACTATGTATATTTACTTTATTCATATTTGAATTAATTTCTGGCACTGGATCACATATAAACTAGATTCCATTTTCTCTGAGTTTTTACTTTCAACTAAAATGTCACAGTATAATATGTTCATAAATGATTAAAATCTGGATCTCTAGAAAAGGAAAATGTTCCTTGATGATGAGAATTTGTCAACATTTGTTATGGTCAGTAAATATCCCTACCATGGTTAATTTCAATTTGATATCACTCAGTGTGGAGTTTGGAAAGATAAGTTTCACTATTCTTTAGGATTTGCTGTAATATATGAGGATTAAACCTCATTAATGTAAAATAAAATAGTAATAGGTGTTAAGTTTCTTTTGTTTTTCTTTATTTATATTTTAATATAATTTAATCATTTTTTTTCTTTTTGGGTCACACCTGGCGTTGCACAGGGGTTACTACACCTGGCCGTTGCACAGGGGTTACTCCTGGCTTATGCACTCAGCAATTACTCCTGACGGTGCTCGGGGAAGTTGAACCCAGGTCGGCCGCATGCAAGGCAAATACCCTATGCGCTGTGCTATTGCTCCAGCTCCAATATAATTTAATTTTTATTATTGGCATTTGATTCTTACAAAGTGATTAAAAATTAAACAATTCAAAAAATCAATAAAGCAAACAGATTTTTTTCTAAAAATAGACGAGATTGGTAAACTATTAGCTACACTCAACAGTTTTCTACAGAAATTCAAATGATATAAAATTCAAAAGTTTCAGTGGTTGCCCCTTAGATCTCCTATTCTGTTGAATCTGTGTTTTGGGTATATGGCTGTACCCCTCACACATTATATCACTGGTATAACTGAAGCCCTGATGCCTGTTAAGTCATCATGGCTCTTTAGTAAGAATTTAAAAAAAAAAAGAACGTTAGGAATGTAATGAATTTTTCATTTGTCTATAGAATTACTGTAGTATAAATTGAATTATAAGTAAAGACATTTTAGTGAAGAAGAAAGTAAAAGAAATTTAATGATAATCAGGGATTATTATAAAAATATTTGTGTCATAAAATTAGAGAAACAAAAAAATGAATTAAAATTTTGAATTTTTATAACCTACCAAAGCTGAATCAAGAGGAAAAAGGGCACCTGAACAGACCATAATGATCAAAGTTATTGAGATGGTTATCAAAAGTCTTCCACAAAACAAAAGCACGGACCCACACAGGATAATTAGTTTCTTCCTTCATATCTTTATAGAAGTACTACTTCTAAGCCTTTCCGACTCTTCCAGGAAGTCACAAATATAGGAATCGTCCAGTTTCTAAGAGGCAAATATTACCTTCATAAACAAATGGAGACACACTGAAAAAAGAACACTATAAACTTATATCCGGGATAAATATAGATGCAAAGATCTTTTCAAAAATTTTAGAAAGTGGTCTAGCTGTGACCTGCTGAGGTGGTGAAGAGACAGTGGGCTCATCCGATTGGTGTGTTCATTTAATACAAGAAAATGGAAACTGAAAAGCTGGAGGAACCTTTCCTTGACACTGAAAGCAAGGGTGAATTTGGTAAATTCACCATGTCTACCCTGTAGCAGACATGGAGAAGGAACAAGCTTTCAAGAGTTCTGGAAGCACTGATGAGATGGCTGGATTCCACAATCTGCTTCAGAGTAAGGCTGCCGGGCCACTGACTGGGACAGGGCAAGAACACTGAGGGTCTCCTACAGACTGCAGTGCCATGTGTCAGGCTCAGACAGCAGGAGTCCCAGCGCAGGTTGAGTTTTAGTGCTGGTACTGAAACAGTTGGATATATTCTGAAGACAATCATCCCTATCTCTGAAGAGGGCCTGCAGTTGCTCTCAACCACTGTGCCCAGCTGGCTCCCACTGAAATCTGATGCTGTGGAATGCTTGAATTACCAACACTACAGGAAGTGACTTTGACAGTTAATTAAGACTGTTGATTCATCAGTCTGGCAGGAGGAATTATTGGGGTCAAAGGTGCCAAAATCAAGAACTACCAGAGAACACTCAGACACAATCAAGATTTTCCAGGAATGCTGTCCTCATTCTACTGGCAGAGTTGTACTCTTTGGAGGAAAACCAGATAGGGTTGTAGAATGCATAAAGGTCATCCTTGTTCTTAAATCAGGGTCGCCTATTAAAGGACATGCCCAGCCTTATGATCTCAATGTTTTTGATGATCATGGTGGTTTTACTATGATCTTTGATTATCGCTGTGATCTTCTGTGGGATTTCCCACGTGAGTAAAAGGTGGTTTTCATAGAATGTCTCCTGGTCAGGATGACTGTTCTGTGCCTTCATCTAGACGAGATTGTATGATGACTTGAGCCCTCGCTGTGGGCCACCGCTGCTGTCTCCAGGATGAGGTGGCCGAAGTCATAGCAAAGCTCGGACTCTTCCCCTTTCTCCACCCCCACCACCTGGAGGAGGAGATGTGATGGCCTCTGACAGAAGAGGAAGACCCAGTGATCGTTATGATGGCATGGTTGGTTTCAGAGCTGATGAAACTTGGGACTCTGCAAGAGCTCATGGAGCCCATCCAAACGGCAGATGGCTCATTACCATTCCAGAAACACAGGACCAGATATAGAATGCACAGTATTTGCTGAAGAACAGTGTGAAGCAGTATGCGGATATTGAAGGATCCTAATGCAAGATATTTTTTCTTTTATATTTTTTCTTTTATTTTATAAAAGCACTATTATGGAAAGTTTTTCTAAGGCTAGTGAGGAACTAAAGGAGTCCTGCATCTTTTCTCTTTGTTTTATCTGCTTCTGCTTAAAAAGCCGGCATTCCTCTGCTTCATAGGTCTTCTGCATTTGAGGTATAGTGAAACCTGTTGTTCACCAGATGTAATGTTTTAGTTCCTTAAACACATTGTGGGGGCTGGAGCAATAGCACAGCAGGTAGGGAGTTTGCCTTGCACGCAGCCAACCTGGGTTTGATTCCCAACATCTCATATGGTCCCCTGAGCACCAGGAATAATTCTTGAGTGCAGTGCCAGGAGTAACCCCAGTGCATCGCTGGGTGTGACCCAAAAAGCAATAAATAAATAAATTAATTAATTAAAAATGGGGGGTTTCCTTAAAAACAGAGTGTGAGGGGGGGACAAAGAAGGGCATGCAAAAACTAACACTGAACTTTCAAAACAGCAGCACAATGAGTGAATTTTAATTTTTGTTCATTGTTGGTAATTAAAAAGACCCCCCCCAATGTAATTATTGTGAACACTTTGCTTTGTGGTCACTGTAAGGTTTGGGGGGTGAGGATGGGACAGGAAGAGTAATAATAGTCCATATGTCCCTGGCATCTATTCAGAGCAGTCCGCAAAATGTAATACTTGTACAAAATGTTTTTTGATTTTCAAAATGAATTTAGTGACTTTTTTTACCAAGTTAGATTCAACAATACATAAAAAAATACTAACAACATGACCAAATAGGATTTATCCTAGGGAAGCAAGGATGGTTTACTGTTCACTTCTTAGTCAGTGTAATGGTGTCGTAACAATAGAAAGAAAAATCAAAACTACTTAATCATACCAGTTGCATGTGCAGAATCACTTAAAAATCACTTAACTTCCTGTTAGTCGTCGATTTGCTCGAGCGGGCGCCAGTAACGTCTCCATTTGTCCCTGTCGCGTGCTAGTGTAGCCCAATGGCATCTGTTCGCTCCGGGAACATGAAGGGCCTCAAACCGATCATTCATGATCTTCACGAAGATGTCTGACCATCTGGTAGGTGGGCGGCCACGTGGTTTTTTGACATCCCGTGGAATCCAGTCGGTAACAGCTCTAGTCCAGCGGTCATCTTTAAATCTCATTACGTGACCAGCCCATCTGATTTTCGACACCTTGGCAAATGAGACAGCGTCCCTGATTCTTGATCGTCGACGGATGTCAGAACTCCGGATTCTTTCTCTCATTTGAGTGAAACGTGATATTCCAAGCATAGCTCTTTCCATTCTTCTTTGGGAGACCTGAATGTTCACCATGTGGAGAAAGCTTTTGAAAAATTCCAACACCTGGTCATGAAAAAAAGTGCTCAATAAATTGGGGGCAGAAGTAGCTTATCTTAATATAGTTGAAGCCATTAAGCATGAAACCACAGCTAACATCACAATCAATGATGAAAAACTGAAAGCCTTCCCTATAGGATTAAGTATAAGACAAGGTTGTCCCCTTATTCATTATAGCATAGGAAGCCCTATTCTTAACAGTTAGGCAAAGAAACATAGTAAGAGCATTTAGATTGGAAAAGAAATAGTCAAATTGTCTTTGTTTTGCAGATGACATGATATTATACTTAGAAAATACCAAGAACTTTATCAAAATAAAAGTAGAAGCAATGAGATTGTGAATAAATTGGCAGACTATAAAATGAACATGCAGAAGTCCATTGCACTCCTAGAGAAATTAAAAATTCGCATTCCCATGTGTATCTAAAGAAAATCAAGTATTGGGGCCAGAAAGATAGTATAGCAGGCCAGGCATTTGCATTGCTCTGAGCTGACCTGTGTTCAATACCCAGCATCTTATATGGTCCCCCAAGCCATTCTAGTAGTGATCCCTGAGAAAAGAGAGAGGAGTAAGCCCTAAGCACTGCTGTGTGTGGCTTCGCTGGTCCACAAAACATACCTGAGAATTACCTTAAAAAGGTGAAACATAAAAAGAAAGGTATAAATTACTACCAAAAGAAATAAAAGAATACACAGGGATTGGAAATTCATCCCCTGCTCATGGACTAAAAGTAGTATTATGTCAAAATGACAGTATTATCAAAAGAGCTGACAGATTCAGTGCAATACTTATAAAATACCTATGACATTTTAAAAAGATAAATAAAAGATGAATAGCATTTAAAATAAAAAATAGAAAAAATGCTATTAAAATTTATATAGAATAATATAGCCACGTAATTACTGGACACGTAATGAGTTTTAGAGACGACCGCTGGACTAGAGCTATTACTGACTGGATTCCATGGGATGTCAAAAGATCGCATGGCTGCCCACCTACGAGATGGTCAGACTTCTTCATCAAGACCCTGAATGATCGGTTTGAGGCTCTTCATGTTCCTAGAACGAGCAGATGCCATTGGGCTACACTAGCACCCAACAGGGATGAATGGAGACATTACTGGCACACAGTGATTCTCTGCCATTGGCCGAGCAAATGATCCTAAACATAAACAAGAGTTACTATGTAAAATTAAGAAGCTTCTGCAGTACAGAAGAAATAATGTCTGGAATAAAAAACACCGCATAAATTGGGAGAAAAATATCTGACAAAAAGTTATTACCTAAGATTTATAAAGCTCTTGCAAAAATTAACAAGAAAAAAATCATTAATCTCATCAAAAAATAGGGAGATTAACAGGAACTTCCTTGAAGAAAACATTCATACGGCCTTAGGAATGTGAAAAAATTCTTATTCATTACCAGGGAAATTTAAATCAAACAACAAGATATTATTTTACACTAATGGGCTGGCATATGTCAAAACACCACCACCACCACCACCAAAACCAGTGTTGGCACGGGAAGGCCCATTGGTTGAAGCTTTATGAAAAACAGTGTGGACATTGCTTAACAAACTAAGAATTGGGCTTCATATGAGCCAGCAATTCCATTTCTTAGCATCTACCTCAGAGGCTCAAGACATTTGCCTTCCCATGTACATTGTGGTACTAGTCACAATAGCCAACATCTGGAAACAAAGCAACTATCTGAGAACTGAGGAACTGGTAAAGAAACTGATTTATATACAAAATGTAATTCTACTCAGCTATAAAAAAGACAAAATCATGTGTTTTACCATTACGTGGATGGAATTCGATTATCCTGTGCCAAGTTAATCACAAAGAAGAACACACACAAAATGATTTCTCTCATATGTGGCATAACAAGAAGCATAATGATGGAATTAACAAATGGCCAAAGGGAACCTTGTCTTGTAACTAGCTGTATAACTGAGCTTTTCATGCTAGTGAGATGGGATGAAGGGTGGCAGTTTAGCTGAAAATCCTGAGACATGGTGGAGGAAATTGACTGCTCTCGTGAGTGATGTGCTTTTAGGAGTGTTTCATGCATGAAGGTCACTTATTGACTCATTGGCATGATGACTTAAATAATTTTTTTAAAAAATAAAGGAAACCACAAAAATGATTAACAATGTTTCACCAACATTAAAAATAAAATGATGGTTTACTAAAAAAATAAAATAGTGATATGGTTTTCTAAAAAATCATTTACACTCACAAAAACCCTCCTTTCTCATGAAGACTAATGTGGTAAATGTAAAGATAGTTCTTACATGAAGAGGTATGTCACCTTTTTATGTGAGATGTTTTCTAACAGTGAGTTTTTCTAATACCTTAAGTTCAAATGGTCATCTTTTCATATATCTTCTGTATGGATTTTTCTCATTAAGAATAGATGTTTTACTTAGGCATGCAGGTTTTGTGAGCAAAATCTGCAGGCTCCCATGGGGTCCAGGATGGCTGCCTCCCTCCATCTCTCTGTTCTTCCAGTAGCCTGGCAGTCATACCTATGAACTGCCTCTGGCACCATATAAGCTCATTAATCAGCCATGATCCAGAGACTCATAAATAAATCTCAAAAGAGAACAAGCTTAACAAGCTTCAGAGATGCCTCCAGACTCTATGCCAAGCTGAGTCTCATATTGGGTACCTCAGAAGGTGTTGGAGGAACCTACTACCTGCCCAAACAGAGTCCTGGCAGCTGAAAATTCCACATTCCAGTTGCTGCCATGCTCACGGCCTGAATCCACAACCTCAGGATGAGCCTCATCCAGAAATGAATCTGTTGAGAAATTCAGGTATGCTGGTTTTGTGACCAAAATCTCCAGGCTCTCATGAAATCAGGGACAAGCTGTCTACCCCCATCTCCCTGTTCTTCTGGGAGCCTGGTAGTCATGCCCATAAATAGCCTCTGCCACCATATAAGCTCATTAATGGCTATATAAACTCATAAACTGTCCATGATCCAGAGACTCATAAATGAATCTCAAAAGAGGTCAACAAACTGCAGAGATGCTTCAGGATTCCAAAGTCTCCATCCAGTTAAAAATTTAACTCCAGCTGCATTACTCTATTCAGAATCTTAGAATTCTTGGACATCTCAAACTCTACACCACTGACATATCTGGAACAGCACATCACATTGAATGGGATTAAGAAAACATTAACATGGAAGGCTTAATCTGTAACAACATGATAGTAATCTCTTCTATGAGGGTTTAATGGCTCCACAGTGAGATAAAACAGTCTTCACACACTTTCTTCTAAGGAAATTTTATTGGTCATTTTTAGGGAATTATTCATAACAAACAATATAAAATAAATTATTTAAGGCTGTTATTGGGGCAGGCTTCGGTGGTGGTTGGGAAAATCTGAAGTATTGGTGGTGGGAATATGTAATGGTGGTGGGATTGGTATTGGAATAATTAACGTAATAAATCTTCTTGAACAACCTTAAAAATGTATTTTTTAATTCTTTTGGGGTTATATCTGTCAGTTCTCAGGATTTACTACTGGCTCTTCATTCAGGGCTTATTTCAAGCAGGCTGGGGGAAACATATGGGTATCTAGGGATAAAACCTGGTCAGCTGGATTCAGAGCAAGTAAATTGGAGAGACTGTATCTATTTACAATCTCTTCAACCCTCCACTAAAAATGCATGAAAAACAACATTTTATTTAGGTAAATAATACTCCATTCTAATGACTTTATATTATATTTATCATAATTCAAACACATAACAATTTTATCAGTCTGTAACAATTTTAATAACATTTTTGCACACATGCATGTTATAACTACATGCATATATAATAAAAGTTGTAGTAAAATTATTTATTTTCTGAAAAAATAAAGCAAAGTATCTTATTAATATTTAAAGATCATGCTAAGTCTTTTGACCAGAAAATAAAATTATATAATTATAATATGTAAAGACAAGAAATAAATTACTGAAAATATATGATATTTTAAGCTTATTATTATAAGACCGATAATCTAATTTTACTCACTAGTCATTTAGTTACTGGAATGATATTTGAAAACATGTTTCTAGAGTTCCTCTAATATTAAAATAATTTTTCTGATTCCTTTTCAGAGTTTACATGGCACAGACGATATGGTCATGGAGGTGAGTTGATCAAAGCATAAATGCTTAATTTTATTCAAACAAATCATATTTCATCTTTATTTAAGATAGTAAAAACTCTCAAAAACTAAGGATGAATTGTCAATTTTAAATTACTTGGAAATTTTCTAAGATGATTTATTTGGGTTCATAAAGCAACTTTGTTTTCCTAAATGAATGTGCATATATAACAAACAATATCCTAGCAGAGCATTTATAGTAAATTGGAGATTATTGCAATATATTTTCTGCATATTTTATATCAAGCAGATGCTGTTAAATTTTGAAGCAATATTTTAAGTTTAAAGATACTTAACTTCTTGGTGTATAGATCACCTTTCATACTACAAAATGCTATGACCGTATCTTGAACTTTGAAAATATGTTTTCAATACATCCAATTGCCAAAGTTTTGCTGTCTCTTGGAAAAAAGAACTGTGAAACCAACTGACAAGAGAAAGCATTCTCTGTTAGTATAACTGGATTGCAGACTGTTCTATTAAAATAGTTTTATGATAACTTCTTCCTGATTAGAAATATGACTATTTGACTCTTCAATGACTATTTGTATTTATAGTTTCCAGAATTTGCCATTATAATAGGAACAATATTTGCTGTACAGTTTTTTAAAAAATACTGTGCTATTTCTCATGCTGGAACTGTTGAAAGAAAATGTGTAAAATGAATCTATTTAACTCATCAGCTTTATTTTTTAAGCATACCTCTTATTTTGTTGAAATCCTCAAAGACCATATTCAGATCTCACAATGATGCTTTTCTTAAATGTTTACACAGCTAATAGTTTGAATTCAATAAATATTACTAGTTTTTGTTAAGAAAATAAAAATGCTTAACTTCTTTTTGATAGACTTGCTTTGCTGGAAGACATAATTGATAAAAATTAATTTGAAGCATAAGATTTGCTTATCTAGAAGTTCAAAGATGTAAATTTTATTTATTTATAAATATCACTAATAATTTTGTTTGTTTAAATTATACTTTACTATTATTATTATTATTATTATTATTATTTTTGGCTTATTGGGTTACACCTGGCGATGCACAGGGGTTATTCCTGGCTCTGCATTCAGGAATTACTCATGGCAATGCTCAGGGAACCATATGAGATGCTAGGAACCGAACCCAGGTCAGCCGCGTGCAAAGTAAACACCCTATCCACTGTGCTATTGCTTCAGCCCCTGTTTAAATTATACTTTAACCACTGAACATTTCTTGCCAGAAGGACAGAGAGCGTGATATAGTGGAAAAAATAGTCTCAAGAAAGACACTTTCATTTACATATTCAATCTAGTATTTACTAGTTATGTTATCTCTAGTTATATTCTATTGCCACCAGCCTTGGCTTTCTAATATATAAAAATTTTAGAATTCTTCTATTAAAATCACTGTCACTGTCCTCTCATTGTTCATCCACTTGCTTGAGTAGGCCAAGTAGCGTCTCCATTGTGACACTTGTTACTGTGTTTAGCATATCGAATATATCACAGATAGCTTGCCATTAAAATAGTTTTATGATAAGTGTCTATCAGTTTAAAAATCATTACATTTCAAAATAAGGTAAAATCAGGAAGAATCAATCATGAGCCATGCCAGAATTTGCATGCCAAGTCAAGTGTATTCATACAGAGTGGGTTGGAAGATCTGCCCTTGTAATGGTTATAAATATCAAGAGAAACGAATGGCTCAGCCTAAATTTTACTAGTTATTTATTTCCACCCTGTGATTCACAGGTCTGCGATCAACCTCTTTAATTCATTTAAATTTGACTTTTGTATATGGCCCTAGAAAGAAGTTTATTTATTTATTTATTTATTTATTTTTTTAGGTAGCTGTCCAGTTTTCCCAGCACCAGTTGTTTAAGAGGCTTTCCTATTTGACTTTATATTTTTTGATCTTTCATCAAATATTAAGTGACTAATATTCAACTCTATTCCATTGAAATTAGGATCTGTCTTTATGCCAGTACCATGCTGTTTTAATTACTAATATTTTATACTACAGTTTGAAATTGGGAAAAGTGACTCCCAACTTCTTTTAACCAAGAATTGCTTAACTTTTTAATGGGGTTGGGGGTTATTCCATATGAATTTCAGGAATATTTGACCCATTTCTTTGAAAAATTTCATGGAAAATCTTATGGAGGCTGCATTGAATGTGTACAGTGCTTTTATGAGTTTTCTCATTTTGATGATATTAATCTTCCAAATCAAGAACCACAGAATGTGTTTCTATTTCTTTGATTTCTCTTTTATTTGTTCAAGTAGTGATTTGTATATTTTTTTCACCTCTTTAGTTAAGCTGATTCTGAAGTACTTGGTTTGCTAAGGCACAATTGTGAACTTTTTTTTTTAATTTTCCTATCTTCTCTTTTATAATTTCCATATTGGAAAGCCATAAAATTTTATGTATTAGTTTTTTTTGCCTGACTTTTTTTCATAAAAATCTAATGTTCTGGGTGCTTTTTGGTGTAATCTTTAGACTTTTTGGAGTCATCTGCAGTGAGAGCTTGACTTTTTCCCCCTTCCTATTTGGATGCCCTTAATTACTTTTTCTTGCCTAATTGTTATGTCAATTACTTTCAGTACTATATATCTTTGTGAGATACAGTTACAGACTTACAAGTTTTCCTGATCACGTTTCAATCAAATAATGTTCAAGTACCCATCCCTCCACCAGTGCCCATTCTCCACCAGCAATTTTCCCAGTGTCCCTCCTGCCACTGACACCCTTTCCCACCCCCCGTTTCTGTAGCAGACACATTCCCTCTTAACTGTATTGAATGGAAGCATAGAGAGTGGGAAAACTCATTTTATGCCTGAACTTAAGGTGAATCTTTTTAGTTTTTCCTCATTGAATGTACTATTTGCTGTGGGCTTGTGGTAAATGGCTCTGAGGAAAGATCCTTCAGTTCCCATTTTCTTGAGGAAAGATCTTTCCATTCCTATTTTCTTGAGATTTTTTTTTTCTGTAAGTGGATGCTGGATCTTGCTGAACGTTTTGTCTGCATCTACTGATATGATTATATGACTTTTATTTTTTCTTTCATTAATACAGTGTTTTACATTGCCTGACTTGTGTATATTAAACCATTTTTGCATCTCCAGAATGAATCCTGCTTGATCATGGTGCATGATCATCTTAATGAGTTGTTGGATTCTATTTGCTAATATTTTGTTGAGGCTCTTTGCATCTGTGTTCATCCTGTAGTTCTGGTGTGTGTGTGTGTGTGTGTGTGTGTGTGTGTGTATGTGTGTGTGTTGACTCTGTCTGCTCTAGTATCAGGGTCATATTTCCTTCATACAAACTATTTGGGAGTGTTTCTGTATTTTAAATTTTCTGGAAGATCCTGGAAAGGATTGTCAGTAGGTCTTCTTTAAAAGTTTTAAAGATTTCATTAGTGAATACATCTGGCCCTGGGCATTTGTTTTGGGTAGAATTTTGGTTACCATTTCAACATCTTCAAAAGTAAAAGATCTGCTCAGATTTCATATCATCTTGGTTCAGTATTGGGAGGTTGAATTGTACTAGTTCTAGAATCTATCCATTTATTCTATGTTCTTTTGTTTCATGGCATATAGATTTTCAAAGTAATCTGATTATCCTTTGAATTTCTATTATATCTGTTGTGACATCACACTTTTCATATTCAAATTGGTTTATTAGGGTTATCTCTCTTTCTTTGCGAATCTTCTTTTTTTTTTTGGACTAAATTAGAAGCATTTTCTTTTCTTTTTTTTTTTTATAGGCTTACAAATTTTGTGCTTGGGTTTCAGTTATACAATGATCAAGTGCCCATCCCTCCACCAGTGCCCGTCATCCATCCCCACGGGTCCCAGCATCCCCCCCCCAACCCTCATCCCCCCCCGCCCCCCGTCCCATCCTGCCTCTGTGGCAGGGTATTCCCCCTTGTTCTCTCTCTCTTCTTTTGGGTACTGTGTTTTGCAAGAGAGGCTTTGAGTGGCAATCATGTTTGGTCTATCGACTACTTTTAGCATGCTTCTCCCACCCTGGGAGGACCCTCACAACACCCTTCATTTGGTACTCTCTTTTCTATCTGAGCTTCCTTTTCACCTAGAGCCTGTGGCTGGCCTTCCATTCATGGAGCAAAATTCCTGGTACTAATCTCAGCCATTCCTGGGTGTTAATCTCCCTTTTTGTTGCTTTATGTTCCCCAGATAAATGCAATCTTTCTGTGTCTATCCCGCTCTTTCTGACTCATTTCGCGTAACATGATACTTTCCATGTAGTACCACTTGTATGTAAATTTCATAACTTCATCTTTTCTAACAGCTACATAGTACTCCATTGTGTAAATGTACCAAAGTTTCTTTAACCAGTCATCTGTTCTTGGGCACTCAGGTTTTTTCCAGATTCTGGCTATTGTAAAGAGTGCTGCAATGAACAAACAATTACAGATGTCACTTCAACTATACCTTTTTGCCTCTCTGGGATATATTCCCAGGAGTACTATAACTGGGCCAAATGGCAGATCAAATTCTAATTTTTTGAGAGTCATCCATACTGTTTTCCAAAAGGATTGGACCAGCCGGCATTCCCACCAGCAGTGAAGGAGGGTCCCTTTCTCGCCACATCTGCGCCAGCACCAGTTGCTTTTGTTCTTGTGGATGTGGGCCAGTCTCTGTGGTGTGAAATGATATCTCATTGTGGTTTTGATCTGCATCTCTCTGATGATTAGTGATGTAGAGCATTTTCTCATGTGCCTTTTTGCCATTCGAATTTCTTCTTTGCGAAAGTTTCTGTTCATTCCTCACCCCATTTTTTGATGGGGTTGGGTGATTTCTTCTTGTGTAGTTTAACCAGTACCTTGTATATCCTTGATATCAACCCTTTGTCGGATGTGTACTTGGTGAATATCCTTTCCCATTCTGTAGTCTGTCTTTGTATTTTGGTCAATGTTTCTTTTGAGGTGCAGAAGCTTCTTAGTTTAAGATAGTCCCATTTGTCTATCTCTGTTTTCACTT